ATGAAGATTTAGATGATGCATACCTGAATATTATTAACAGCTAAAAAATAAAGATCAAAGTCACGCAGAAAAGCAGCATCGCAATGTCTTTACAAAGCAAGATGATTATTATAGATTGTTTAGAACATATTTAGTTCTTTCATAGATATTTACAAATAGTTTTGTTATCTTTTTATTCACATCAAATATTTTTACAAAATATTTTTTAACTTATGACTACTATAGTGGCACTTATAATCCTTATTTGGCCTTTGGTAGGTTATTTATTTAAAATGGATCTTTCTATTAATTTTGATCTTATTAATTTTTGTATTTCTAGTATTTTGGTCAGTTATGATTTTATTGGCATTCAGAGTGATTGGTAGTATAATTTATCTAGTTCCTTATTTTGTGTTTAGGTTAAAATACTATTGTAATAGTTTATATTCAAAAGAAAGGTTTAATTAAGTTAAAAATTTTACTTTTTCACTTTATTTTGTTTTTTAAGATTTTAATATTACACAAAATAGCTGCAAAGTAAAGATGCGAGCCATTTAAAATTTTATTTTAAAATAATGTTAATTTGGAGAAAACAGATAACGGACCACATCTCTAAGAATATTAATACAAGACAGCTTTAATTAGTGAATCAACCACCTATTAAGTTGTCAAATTTATATTGCCTGGCCTTAATTTCACCCAAAATTCATAATTCAGTCATTGATGCAAATCAATATTATTTTCTGTGGATTGTGAAATCATTTCGCAACTAATATAAAAAAAAGTAACAAAACTAACTTAATGTTATAACTAATTTTTTTTTAAAAAACTTGAAAAACCTCATAATCATCAACTAACTTAATGTTATAAATAGTTCAGTTGCATTAATTGCTAATAACAATGAAAATTCATATTTTAATTAAAATAAATTGATAAAATTTTATTATTACAACCCATCAATTCACATTTGTGATACAACCCAATCTGGTATTAATAAAAAAAAACTACTAATTGTATTGTTGAATAAAAGCAGTACTATGAAAGATAAAAATTAGCAGTTAAAACCTCTCTAAGCATACCAACCCATGTAAATGAATATTCTATAATTTTTAATGATACTGGTTAATTAGTTGGTTATTATTTTTAAAAGATCAATATAAAAAGAAAGAAAGATATTGAGTTAGTGTGTTTGTGAAAATTTTATTTTAAAAAGGGTTGTGATTTTTAATTTTGTTTAATATCAAAAAAAAAGTGACAGAAAACAATAAATTTTTTTGATAGATGAAATCTTAGAAAATATTATTTTTAATTATATTGATTCATACGATACTCTATATCAATATATATTTGTATTAAAACAATGGGCGCGAGTTGCTGTCAAATTTTTATGAAGAAATCTGTTTGATATTATTCATATAGATTATGATATTAAATCATATGTTTAATTTTATAAATTATGTTTATGTAAATTATATATTTGAATCAAATGATGATTTGTTATTTGATTATCTTTCATTTATCAAAAATATTATTTTCGTTCTTTACAATTCTTCAAATCTTCCAGAAGATTATGATGAAGAAAGTTATTATGCTATAATGCGAACAATAATTAACAAATTGCAAAAATTTGATAAGGTGGTTATAATAAATAGAAGTGTGAAGGAAGATTTTTGGTTCGTAAAAGAATTAAGAGAGAAGATAGATGATACGACTATTATTCATTTGATAGATGTTGAATCGAATATATCATACGATGGTGTTAATTTACTTGACAAAAGTAACTTTGTAAACGAAATATATTTGAAAAACATTGATTGTAGTTTATTGAAAGAAATGAGAATAGAAAATCGAGTTCAACATTTGAAATTAAAAAATTGTAAAAATCTGAAATTGGGATTGGATGATCTTAAATTATTGAATAAGTTGATGATTGATAGTACTTGGATAAGAATGTCAGTAAAATATTGAATTTTACTTTTAAGATACTTAAATTAATCGATGAAGAAATTTATCTTGAAAACTTGATTAGTAATTTGAATGAGGCTCTGATTAAAGTGAAACATATCTATATTGCGAGTTACTACATAGATGATTTGAAAGGTGATTATTCATTATTTACAGATCTTAAAAATCTTGCTATGATCTTCGCATCATAGCAGAAGTGGATTAGATTTATTTTTGATTGTGATATAATTTGTGATCGATATTTATTGTATATTTATGTACAATGTACTAATGAGTTTAGTAGTTTATTATTCAATACTAAGATTAATTATAGATTGGAGCATTTTGGTTCTGTTTTGAACAATGTTTGATATCAAATTTTCCAAACCCTAGCCTGGATAAACAATTTGATTGATAGTCAATTTTGTGAGTTTATTTTCTAACAGACTCTAGTTGCCGTTAGAGAACAAACTGAAAAAGTTTAATTTTCTTGTTTAAAGTTACATGTAACCTGTGCCTTATTTACCAGATTACGAATTAATTATATCTGATATTTACCAAAATTATGTTTACCAGAGTTACGAATCAATTCTACCAAAATTATATCTTCCAGAGTTACGAATTAATTCTACCAAGATATGTTTTGTTTAACAATAATTATTGTTTCATAATTTTAATGACAATTTTTTTGTCGGCATCCGTGCAAAATTTTGTTTCTGCACACAGTTCGCACAGTGAAAATAAACACTGATCATTGCATCAAATATATATATTGTTACTTTAATATTTTTATGTAGCAAAAAGAATAATATTTGTTTACCATGTATAACAAAAAAAAATCATTTTTGGTTTTTTCTTGACTTTCTTTTTTATCACATCTAATTGTGAATTTTTGTTAGATATATTTCTATTTGCAATTTCCTTATAGAGTTTAAAAGCACTTTTTTTATCACCAATTTTTTTGTAGCAATTAGCCTAAGGTTATTCAATTACTAATTCGCAGGGACAGTGAATAATATTGATTTGTATTAATCATATATAAAATAATATTTTTAGGCCAAATCGTGGGGAAATCGATATTTTCGCAAATTTTAATACAGTGTAACAATATGCACTTGGGCAAAATTAAAAGTATAATTCAGTCTGGGTAATATAAACTTGGCCAACTTGAACCGTTGATAAGCTTAACCATACTGATCGATATTTTTGCAAAATTGTCCCTGCCAATTCGTTATGACAAGTCCCGTGACCAATAATATGATATGTTATTTCATATTTTTTATACATGATAAAATTTTAATTTATAAATTATTTTGCTTATATAT